TACGTCCAATAACCGTATTTCCGAAGCGCTAAACTAACTGCGAAAGAATGATAATTATTGGGCTGAAAGTCTTGATTTCAAACTCGGTTTGGTGTTAATTGTCATATGATAAGGCCAACGTTTTTTAATTTTAGTGCCAAACCCTTTGAAATGGAGTCCATGTACTCGGATTCGAATTCAGTTTGAATTCCGTGACAACGAAAAAGCAGTGACGTTCGACTTCCATTATTACTAAAGCTATGCTTAAGACGGAACTTAGAACATGACCAAGCCAGGGTTGAGTCAGATTTATTTCAATCGAAGCTGATAAGAAAATATCATTGAGTCTCATATGCCACCCCCAGGCGTATCTATTCGTATATAAATTAAGTCTGAGCCATAAACGTTTGAGATTTTCTCTTGAAAACCACGAATCTGTATCTATTTTTTTTTTGTTCTCGTTTCTTTTTAAGCAGATTTTACGTTCAAATCTTGCTTTCATTTTTGAGGGACTGGTATATTTTGAAGTAATTTGGTTTGACCAGAAACGTGGTTTCAGTTCTAAAAGTACATGGGTTTTTCAAGGGGTACGGCGAAAAATCAACGTTTCGCCTTATCAATGTCACGTACTCAGGAAAAGACAAGGCGTCTGTTTATTACGTACCCATGGTACCTCGTGTGTAATATTGTACAGCTACCAATTTGCAATAAGTCTAGAGTTTATCTTGCTCAAATGTGTCGACGATCGAGTTGATGGTTGTTGATTGAGTGATAGCGAGAGCCTGCAGTAAGCTAAAAGAATTTATTTAGTACTTGCAAATTGCTGTAGGCATGGCCATAAGCGATTCAATTTCATCAAGAGAATTATCACGTGCGTAGAAATCTCGACTCGTCATTTAGACTACACCTTTACCATTTTTTTAATTTCTTTTGTCACGTATCGTAAAGCACATTACCGCGTTCTCTGATGTGAAAAGAAGGGTGTTGAAGTATAGCACACTGAGAGAACCGAGAAGTCATTCAGAATACACGGTATCTCTCTAAAACGTTTGGTACGTCTCGCCAATTTTTGTAAAATAATATTTAGTTATAATCATTATTTTATAATGCAAAGGATAGGTACGTATTAACATCATTTAAATCGAGCGGGTATGTCTGGCTTTTTTACTCAGTTTACTCTGAATTAAAAAGAGAAGAATTCAAAAGAATTATCAAATCTACCCGATCAAATATGACCGCATTAAGAGACATATATGTTAAACTGAGTGAACTCAGAGCCCTTTCGGAGCACAGAAATCGGCATCATGAGAAATAAATACACGAGCATTTAATTGTACAACTAATTTCGTCGTCTTGCTTTGATTTTGCCTTGCAGGAGTCACCCCGCATCAAACCAGTAATCTAATGATTCTGGAAGTCATAAACTGAACAACTCCGCCGCAGTAGCTATCAAAGAGTGTGACGTTAAACTCGTACATCAATTTGAGAAACGTCTGGCAATTTTCTGGGACTCCGTCTTCAAATCAGTAATGTCTAATATTACTTTGTTGAATGAATCAGTCAGACAAGCGGTGGGTCTAGTCGTAAACTCGTCTTTATCACAAGAAGACATTGGCCCGTACTTGATAACTCTATACGCATCAGCCTATCTGTTTTCCATTCTGTCTCCTATTACAGTAGTAAGCAATGGTCTTCTTCTAGTTGCAATCTACAAAGATCCATTTAAGTGCTTTCGCACTCCAGTAACGTTCTTCAACGTAAGCTTGGCCATTGTGGATCTACTAGCTGGTACAATCGTCGAACCATGTTTTGCCATCTTCTACTTTGCCTGCTATTCCAAACAGACATTGGATCCTGGTAAATATTTCTCGTACCTTTTCCACATAGCATCTTTTCTGTCCCTGGTCTTGATAAGCTCGTCGTTCCTTTTAGTTTTAGCCCTGACAACAACGCAATACATCGCGATCACTTATCCTCACAAGTACAAGCAGTTATTCACCAAGAAACGGGTACTCGTCTTCGTCTTTGGATTCTTCATCTACTTTGCCGTCTTTAGTTCCTTACAATTCACGAAAATCCCAACAGACATCTACCTTAGGATAAATCTACACCTTCATCCCACGGTTATAGGATTTCTCCTCACTATCGCCCACATACTTCTTTTCAAGTCGTTCCGTAAATTTGTGCAACAGTCCAAAGCTTTGCGACGCCCAAGTATGGCTCAACATGTCCATCCCACTGCTCAGGGTAGCAAGAGCGAGGCAAAACACCAGAAGCAGCTCACTGTCGTGGCCCTTCTACTCTCCGCTTTGTTGCTCTTGTGCTCCATACCCCACATTGTGACATTCTACGTCTACTTTTACACCAAGATTATCTCGTTTACAGAGATCCGCAATATCAGTATAGCACTCCGTGTAAGTGACATGATCTTGTTCATCAAGGTCGCCCTGGATGCTTATATTTATGCGTGGAGGCATCCTAAGTACAGGAAAGCAGTAAAGGGAACAATACTCTGCTACGTCAAACAGACAACGAGAGAAAGGGACACCGAGCAAGAACTGGTGGCTACTGCAAGTTCTTGTAAAGTTCAACACTAAAACTATGGTGAACAATTCACTACGCCCATCACTAAGGCTTACTTCTTAACAATTCTTAGCTAATAGTTAGGTCGTGCAGGGTATAAAATTTTGTTCTCTTTGTAAATCTATTATAATTATGGCTAGTTTTTCTTATCTTTTTTCTTTCCTGTCCACCTCCCGCCTCGTTTAGCTTAAGCTAACTGCGGGTTGCGTTAAATATTTCCTTTTCCCTTTTCAATTTACTTCAATTTATTACTTGTAAGCTTTTTCATGTGAAATGAAGTTGTTGCGGTTGTTTTAAAGGTGGGCGATCCCAAAAAAGAATGCAAAAACAACATTAGCCAGAATTACATTCCACGGTTAGCCACTTATTTTTGTCCGAGTGGGTACAGTGCACCATAAAGTTCACGGTAGAGTAAAAAGGCCTTTAAGGGAGGGAAAGCGAACACCTTTTTTATTCAGGGTTTTTGTCCAGTTTTTTTTTTTGCGAATAACGTGAAAAACTTTCTCGAAAAATATTTGAGTATCGGGATTGTGTTATTTCTCTTCTTTTTTCGATGGACCAAAGCTAAGCGATTTAATTGACAGTTATTTGGTCCTACAAATTGCCAGTAACTTAAATATCCAAATCTTCCTTAAATGCCTTCTGTCTACTGAGTGCACCATGGCTTTTCTACTTATTAAAAGCGTGGGTCACTTCTTTGTTTATTTATATGAAAAGAAATAATCACTGTACATTAAAAACTTGGTCGCAGAACAAGCGGGAAAACTACACTGGTCTGGGTGGTCTGAGTTGGCAGCCGAGAGAGTATGGCGAATAATCGTGGGGAGTTTTAACAGCGTACACTTATTATTCAAGGATATCTTGTTTATTCTTCAAAAGCCGTAGTCATTGTAATGTCTAGAATTTATGAATAAAGGTATAGCAGATAATAAATATTATGAGGCCAAAACGAGCCAAATCTCTTACTTTTGTTGGGGATGGACCATAGACCTTATTCAGCATAAAAGGTGGTTTAATGACAGTTTTTTTTAGTTACTAATCACATTTTGCTAGTTAGCATGGAAATTCAAAGAGTCACTATTCCAAAATAATGCCATGTATTGAGGCTAGTTGTGTCCGCTGGGGATACTCCCTATGATGGCCTATAAGGAGAGGCTCCGCCCGAAAAAGGTATCTTTTTCAGGCTTCAGGTTTATGAAAGGGTAGAGATTTTATTTGTTGAAGTATATAAAAGGGTAGGGAAATCTGTTATTTGGGTCTGTGAAAGGGCCCAGAAGGGCTGTAACAGATGAATTTTATGGCTTTATAGAATCTAGAAAACGTTCTATTTTTGTGATTGAAGACGGTACATTTACAGCAGTTGAAAGGGATGCAAAGTTATAAACGAGGTATGTGAAAGGGGTACTATTTGTCAATAGAAGGCATACGAAAGGGGTACCTTTTCCGTGAAAATTGGTATATTAAAGGGTAAGGGTTTGGACCCTGGGGCGGAGCCTCCCCGTATAAACATTTGTTGAGTATCCCCCCCCCCCCGGCATTGTTTTTGCACGCATGCAGTCAAAAAATGTGCTTGGTGAAACAAGTATTATCATCCAAATTACTACAAGAAAATCTTTTATGCACAACACCTATCAGAAGTGAACAAACTGTTCAGGGGCCTTACGTTCACTTGTAAGGACTTGCTCGCCTATAGTCCACTTCAAAAGTTGACATTCTTGTATGACAGACAGACATTTACCTCATAAGCCTCTTCTTTTCGTCTCTGAGATCGTCGAAGTGTTTTTGTTTTTATTCGTATATTAAGCCACCTCGACGTTCAAACCAAATCTATTTGTCACCAATCTTTTGGCAACTTTATTCCGAGTTTATTGATTCATTAATCATATTGCCGCCCGGTTAGCTCAATTGGATAAGCAGTGGTCTGCCGAGCGGGAGGTCGCTAGTTCAAACCCCTGTCTGACCAACACTCACGATCTTAAAACAACTGAGGAGAATGTGCTGCCTTTAATGTGACATCTACAAATGGTTAAAAATTCTAGACTTCTCGGATAACGGCGAAAAACCGTAGGCCTCACAGGTCTCACACCTGTTTACTGTTCTGATTCTTGTGGAACGTAAAACAACCTACACTGCTATTCGTAAAGATTAGGGATCGTAGACCCAGGTGGTGTGGTACAACTTTTTATGTGCTGAATGGGCAATGAAGCGGTTAACATCAATTGGGAAGTGAGTCCTGTTTCATCCCCTGTCACTGTGTTGAGTCACTGTGACGAATTCAATAAAGACATAGACTTGACGGATGTTTGGATTTGAGAGCACAAACTGTAAAGCTTAAGATTAACGTGTCTCATTCCTTGAATTGTGCACAAACTACAATAGACTTTAGGAAATGAGTTGGTGCCTCAATCATAACTGTAGAGTATCCTTCACTTTTTCGAGGGCTTTCAATTTTCAGAGGCAATTATAACAGTTTTTTGATCTTTAAAGTTTACGTCAGGATCTAAGATGCACTCGAATCAACCCAAGTTAGTTTAAAACTGTTCGTTTGGAATTTGGGCTGTTGGCTGTCTGTTCCTGCTAGGCGTTCCTTTATAGCTAGTACTTGGGAAGAAAGATTTTCCAGGTCCTGACTCAGAGATTCTAGTTCACGTCTCAACGTGATGCTTGGATGAGGATAACCTACAGCAGACACACTGTTTTTCTTTTCTAGACGAAGGAAACAAGCTCAATTAGTTTTTCTGCTGTAGGCATAGGTTGTACACAAACAACAAGCCGTTTTATCTAGTAATCTAGCATAGATATCCTCCCAGTTACATTTTCTTAGTAACCTGGGGAGTGAAGTGAAGTTGACCAGTGGAGAGATTTGCATCTTAACAAGTTTTTTGTACAGCCTTAAACAAATGCCTTCTTTATTATTGTCTTCTCTATTATCATAATAAATATCTTCTTCTTAACTTCTTCTTCCTGAATGAACTCCGTCTTACTGAAGATTCGTTCAGCCCTGCCATTATAAACAACTTACATAGAGAGTATTTGTTTAAAATGTGCCTGCCCACCCATCATTAAACATGACCTATATAAAACTACATGTGTAAAATCTCAGTCTTGTTGTAGCATTTTTGTTTACCCAGTTTTGTAAAGAAAACTTGCTTCGGTTTTTGTTTTAGCTTTTTCGTCGAATTAAATGAAAAAGAAAACTAAGCTCCAGAATACGCACAGAAGAAAACTACTTCGGTGTTGCAGTGGGTGAGAGCACTCGCCTCCCACCAATGTGGCCTGGGTTCAAATCACGGCGTGGACACCGACGAGGGTAAACACTAGAACGACTGACTTAATAAAGTAATTTACTGTACTACTTAGTTGGGTTGAGCTTTATGTTTGTTGTTGGTTCTCTCCCTTGCCTGCGTACAGACGTGCCACAAAGGAAATAGGAGACGTCTGCATGCAGGCAATTCTCTCCCGCTCCCAGAGGTGTTTTCTCCGGGTACTCCGGTTTTCCCCTCTCCTCAAAAACCAACACTTCCAAATTCCAGTTCGACCAGGTAAAAAAATGGTAGACAAAGGCTACTATGGGAATATGCTCTGCCGAAAATCCTTATTTATTTAGTTATTTATTTAATTGGTGAACTTACGAAAAGAGCAGAGTCGCTTTTCCGATTTTAGAACAAAAATATCGACCAAAACGCCAAGCAAAACGAGACCAACCAGGATGCCCAAGATGGTGAGAAGTAAAATTCCAGTGTGGGAGGAACTTCCCGATATCAGACCTTCTGTATCCACGGATGGCCTAAAAACCTAGAATGATTAAGAAAAATAAACAAATTGATATTTTGGAAAGTACTTAACGGACAACAGCGCGTAGTAGATACGATTATCATACTTCCTCTGGAACTCGGTAAAATTTTGACGAAAATTAGCGTAAGCCGCTCATTCAGAGAAGGATGAAAAGGAACTTAGCCGCAAGAGGTGAGGCACTACCCTCCCCCACTGGGAGCAGAGGCCGTAAGTCGAGGGGCCTCTGCTCGCGTGGTAGTGATGCACATATAGAACTCTCCGCAAGAGATGGAAAAAGGGATAGAGGAAAGGCGATGTAATGCAAATTCATCTGACAGCTTTCTGTACAGTAGGTGCGAGCTATCGACCAGGTTTTCGGCTTGTGGATCAGTGTTCTAGGTGTTTAGTAATTGAACAAGTTTATCAAATTTGGGGAGACTATTTTGTTTTAAACCGGTATAATTGTATCTGACTACCTCTACCTTAACGTTTGACACTGTTCTTACAAGCTCAAAAATACAAAATAAATTACCTTCAAAGGCACAGTGTATCGTTTGACAAACGTGTCTATCAAAGGATGTTCTATTCGCCGCCTAAAGCAAAAGTTTTTCTCTAAAAATCTACACGTTGTACTTCTTTTAAGTGCCATCTTGTATGTTATTTCCGCATGAATCACTTCAAATATACGCAAGTTTTCGTCCTCAGTTTTTCCGCTGAAATGGTAATAAGCTTGAAGTCTCTCCATAAAAATGCCATCCACATCGTAATCTACCAAAGCATTATACAAAGCTTCAGGATCGTCGTACACTAAGCCGAAAGTAAAAAACAACAATAAAACTAAGGGTGAGGGTTGTTCTAACGTCTAAAGGTTTATAGATAACATCCTAAGATCTCGGGGGGACCTCCCTATAAAAGCCTATAAAGGGAGGCTCCACCCGAAAGGGGTACTTTTTCAGGCTTCACTCAGGTATATAAAAGGGTAGGGATTTCATTAGTTGAAGTATATGAAAGTGTAGGGAAATCTGTCATTTCGGTCTGTCAAAATGCTAAAACGGGCTAACAGATGCATTTCAGGGCTGCGAAAGAGTCGACAAAACTTTGTGATTTGTTCATATTTAAAATTAAGACAATTCATTTACAGCAGTTAAAAGGGATACAAAGTTCTAAACTTGGGTTGTGAAAGGGATACATTTTTCATTAGGAAGTATACGAAAGGGGTACGTTTTCTGTCAAAAATGGTATATAAAAGGGTAAGGGGCCGTTTTGGACCTTGGGGCGGAGCCTTCCTGTATAAAACGTTTCTCAAAACTCCCCCCCATCCCTCCCAGTCCTATGACTATGGAAGACTAATAGGTTTATGGATGAAGTATCACATTAGGCCAACTTGGCTTGGTTCAAAACAAAACAAATTTCTTTCTGGGCTGACTAGTAACTTAAGAAAGAACTTACGATAAGAAATTGCGCCAGTATAATTTGCTTCATCCTGAGCTTTAATATCTTGTGACAGCACACCTACCTGTAAAAAGGAGTCAGAACAAAGGCAAAAAACGATCATTTTTTTCCATAAATTAAACTAAATTTACAGATTCCAAGACAGATAGTTCAAAGTTAGGACCGGCTGTACGGAGAACTTAAGCAATGTTTGGCGAAATAAACGCCGTGTAGGACAGCTGATAAAGTGAAACCAGTGCTGGATTTATTTGAAAAAAAAATTACAGTTGTCAACCTCCGCGCATGCGTGAGGTGCTGGCCAGGCGGTGGGTTGGTGTATGTGCGCCCCTTGCTTTGGGTTTGTCTCCATATGCGACCACCTCTCATAAACAATCACCTCCCATAAGCATCACTTATCCAAAACACCATACATTTTCCAGTCAAATCCTCAAAGTTCCAAACCTCTCGTAAACGACAACCTCCTGTAAGAGACCGCGAACACTTCTGGAGGATGACGGTTTTATTATTTTCTATTGTTTTCAACCTCTTTGTTCTTTGTAAGAACTTTTAGCGACGGCATGGATCTATACATATCGTAACTTAGAAATTGCGTGTAAAACTGAGTTATCTTCCATATTATCCCTTTAAGTCCCAATATCAACATACAAATTCTCCAAACTGATCTCCATACATTTCCTTTAAGAATCAGTTGAGAGAATTTAATAACAGATCAAGGTTTTTTCTTATCGGTGATCATTTGTTAATTCTCATAACTGCATCTCTTGACAATTACTGGATATTGTTAGGAGAAAATTGATGTTGGTCACTATCGGGACTTAAAGGGTTATAAGATAGATAAGTCCGGACCTAATCTTGGAAGAAACATCCAGTGGTTTTATTCTCATAAGCAACCACTTGTTAATTTTAATTGGTCGCTATGAAATTTGTTAATTATAGCTTGAAATGACTGAAGTTTTCTTTTAGAAGACTTTCTTTTTTTCGGAATTGATCGAAAAGAAAGTTTAGTCAGTGCAAAGATAGTCGAAAGGTTCTACCCCTAATGAAAGGCGTCCACCGATATCAAAGGCCAGTTTTCTGTTCTTATGAGATTAGCACTACTTCCACTAGTCGGTATAGGTAAAAACATTTTAATTTCTAGGAAATTTGTTATTTTTTCAAAGCGTCGTATCCTTGCAAGAATTTCTTTGAGACGATTTTTTCTTTGATAACTTCGGTTTTACACCTTTTGTAATACATTTTCAGTAAAATTCATTTAAATTTTCAGAAAATAAGAAAGTTTACAAACTGATTTTCAGCTTCAAAAATTATAAATGATAACCTTGCTGATAAGTAACCTTTTAAGTTTCAATTTTTGCAACTTCCCTTGTTTTTTCTTTTGCGATCTTTTCCGTGCCCTGAGAAGGGACATCGCTTACAATCTCGTAATCTAATTGAACACTCACATCCAGTCCTTCCAATGAATTGCTAAATTGTGGCGAGGAGCTGAGAGTTAGAGCGGAAGTTACTGTGGCAGTAAACATGGTAATGACAATGAGACCAAGAAGGATCCATAACACACCAAACAGACGGCCAATAAACGACCTGGGAGTTTTGTCACCATATCTACGCAAAATAAAACCTAAGTTAACTCAGTACTTCCAATTTCATTATGTCCACGTCACATCTTACAATATGTAAATGTAGTGTTGCTTTTTTTGATCGTGGGAATACACTTAGGTGCTATGGCCCCCGGGGGGGACTCCACATATGAAAGGGGTGGGGATGCTCGTCGGAAATTTTGAATTAAACCCCTTAAGGAGACCGATCTGGGCCTGGCCCAAGCTTTTTTGACCCCTAAAAGAGGCCATGTTAAAACACAGACAATATTATATATATATATAATTATATATTATATTTTTTGGCGTGCAACTTTAAGCGAGACATTCACGGCTAAATATCATGGAAGGCCCTAAGTGAGACCAAAAACCGAAATTTACGCCCCTGAGCGAGACGACGAGTCCCCCCCCCTTTCATATGCGAAGTCCCCCCCCCCCCTTCCCCGCCCCAGGGCTATAGCTAGTTTACATGTACACGGCACTAAAATAATTATTGAAAAATAATCAAATCAAACACTGACTGTCAATTGGCAAAGTAGTTTGCTTTTTATAAGAATGGCCGAGGAGTTCAACTCGGTACCACCATGCACCGAACCCCCACCTCCGGATTGCGCTTTCGCTGCGCTGGGTATACCGGCTGGCGATTCTTGCCTTTGCTTCTTTCACATTGTTTTTTTTCTTGTAAGAGACCAACATACATATACGAGGAGACAATGAGGGGAAGGGAGACACCCTGTTACGCCGCAAAATGTAACAATTGACGCAAAATGTAACATTAACGCGAAATGTAACAACTTTTGACGCGAAATGTAACATTAACCCGAAATGTAACAACTTTTGGCACAAAATGTAACAACTTTTTAACGCGAAATGTAACAACTTTTTGACGCAAAATGAAACAATATTTTCAACGCGAAATGTAACAAGCAAAATGTTACAGCCTTGAAATAACTGAGAAGCTTGTACATGAGCCTTGTAGATAAAGTGTAAATTGTCTGGTGGTTACAAAAACAGTTTATTTATAAAGTTTTCTTATAATGTCAAATAAACTTACAAAACGTTTTTCGATAATAGTAATTAAATCCTGAAACAGTTCAACGAATTGTTGTTTAGTATATCTTTCTGTACTTATGTGTGACGCTTAAAAGAAAGTTGGCGTTACATAATCCAGGAAGTATTAGATGGGTTAGGATGGTACATTTTTAGCATTCACCCTCTAGGGAGTTGAGCCCGTATGACATCGAGGCGAGTATCGATTACTGATCATTCTTTTCACACTTTCATCGAGTGAAGGCGCTTTCTGTTTTTATCCGACGCTGTCTGTTTTTACCCACCTCCTCCCCTTTTCCCTAAAAGGAAAGTGTAGCGGAGCAGTCATCCGACTGCGTGAGATAATCAACAATGTTAAATGGGCGTTGGCATGGTTAAGTTTTGAGGCAGCAAGACTGGGTTGGTATGAAATTTCTCACATTTACTGGAAGTCCGGTAAGAAATGAGAAATTCCATATCTATGTTATTGACTACGTTCAAAATTTTCTTTTGAAAGATTACCTTTCTTAACTTTTACTTTTAACTTGCATTTCAATTGCTGATTGGTGCGTGTTTCCTACGGTGTTATTGTTCATATTTCTAGTCATAATCTTTTCGCATAGCTTGGGATATTTTCCATACGTTATGTTTAATAAGTTAGTGTTGTTTTTTTTTTTTGTTGTTTTTTTTTAAATTTATTTTTGCCTTACAGACATATATTAAATGTTTACAGTACTAAACACTACTGAAACTAAATACTACTAACAATATTCACTATACTTGCACTATTTACAATATTGGCTATACTGACAATACCATCCATACGATGCTCGTACTACTAATAATTACAATGGTTACACTACTTACAATTCTAGTACATCACACACACACACACACCCCCACATAAACACACACACACAAAAAAAAAGGTCAGAGGAGTTACTTTTCATGTCTATTTTATAGCTTTTCAATTCTGTATTTAATTATCATTTTACCAACGAAGTCTTGGAGGAGAATTGGTTTGTTGTGTAGTTTGTTGGCGTAGATGTAGTATCTCATAAACAACATGGTATAATTGAATTTCCTTACTAGTACCTTTTCATGTAAGTCCGAGAGGATGCCGAACAGTCTTTCTTCGCTAGATGGGTTGAGATTGATCTTGTTTTCTATATTGAACCAGTTGATAACCCGTTGAATGAAAATCTTGACGAAATGACAATCTCTAAAAGTATGATTAATAGAGTCTTTTTCACCACAATATATACATTCATCATCTTCCTTGATTCCATAGCGGTAAAGTTCCTTTTTGGTGACTACAATTCGGTGGATTAATTTATATTGAAATTCCTTTAATTTGGTCTCTCTACAGACGGTTTTTAGGGAGGTGAATATTTTTTCCCATTTATCTTCATCCAAGGAAAGATCTTTGCTCCATCTCTGTGGCCCAGAATGACCTGTTGTGTGGATTTTTGTGCATAATAACGTATAGAAGTCGCTAGTCTTGATTTTGTTCAGATATAGAGTTATCGATTTATTTAATTGTAGACTAAGATTATTATCAGAATATAACTCTTTATTAATTGGCTTCGTTGATTTTACTTTGGCTAATAGGTGCTTTGGGATAGCGCTAATAACTTGATAGTATTGAAGGAAGTTAGTTTTACAGGAATACTTATTCGTAAATTCCTGATAGGTCATCGGTTGACCGGTATTGTGTAAGAGATCTTGTATTGACAGGATACCTTTTTTAAACCATTCCCTGATAAAAAAGGTTTTACTGTCAACAAGTATTTCTTTGTTGTTGAATAGAATTATATTTTGTGCTTGATCAAAGCTGTACAGAGTTTTTAATTCACTGAAGTATACTAGAATATTTCGGTAAAACAATGGAATAGATTTTATGTATTTCGCATCGTAGTTACATCTCAGTAAAAAGTTCAAACCTCCGAATTTTCTTAGGTAGTAATCAGGAACTGTTTTCCAATTCTGGTTCCCTGGAGTCAGTAATCTTGGAATCCAGGCTAGTTTTAGAGCTTTAAACATTATGTCGATGTCTACCATACGTATTCCGCCTCTTCCAAGATCCTGATAGAGCCCAGTTCGTTTAATTTTATCCCTTTTGTTTTTCCATAAGAAACTAAAAAACTTTGTTTTCACTGTGCTTGCGATATCTTCGGGAACATTAAGAATTGAAGCTGAATAAATTAATTGTGACAATCCTAGGGACTTAATTATCAGTACCTTCCCAAATAGTGTGAGGTCTCTAGATCTCCACATATCCAGCTTTGTTTGAAGTTTTCGTATTTTCAGATTAAAGTTCAATTCATTGTTACCCTTCTCATCATAAGAGACATGAATTCCTAAGAGGCGAGCCGGACTATGTAACCATTTTAGTTGTAAAGGATAACTTTTGTTTTTTTTTCCCATTTTCCCAACCAAATTGCTTTCGATTTCTTTATGTTTAACTTGAGACCCGCTAGCCTCCCAAAATCTCCCACCGTTTTCAAAGCATTTTCAACGGAGATCAAATCTGCACAGAAAAGGTTTGTGTCGTCTGCGAATTGGCTCAATTTGATTTCGTGCCCGAATATTTTGATTCCTGTTATACTTGGTTCTTGTCTGATTTTGCTGGATAATATCTCCGTGGAAAGCACAAATAAGTACGGAGAAAGGGGACACCCTGTCGCACTCCTCTTGACGGTCTAAACCAGTTGGTCATGAAACCATTGTTTATCGCCGCGCTCTCAATTTTTGTATAGAATGTACTGATCCATCTTTTTATACTTGTTCCGAAATTGAATATATCCAGTGCTTTCATCATGAACGACCATTCTAGAGAATCAAAAGCTTTCCGAAAATCTAGAGATACTAGAATGCCAGGTATGCTTTCTGACTTCGTATGTTCCATTATGTCGATTATTAGCCTAATATTTTCCCCGATATATCTTCCTTTGATAAAACCGGTTTGATCAGTGTGCACTAGATTTGGTAATAATGGTTCTATTCTCCTTGCTATTGCCTTAGTTGCTATCTTGCAATCAACATTTAGCAGTGTTACCGGTCTCCAGTTTGAAAGTTCTAGTAGCGAGCCATCTTCTTTGGGAATTAAAGTAATAACGCCTCTTCGTTGTGAAATGGTGAGTTCATTTGCATCATAGGCCGCATTGAAACTAGCAACAAGATCGTGTCCTAGCAGATCGAAAAAAAACATATAAAATTCAACCGTGAAACCATCTTCTCCTGGAGCTTTGTTGTTTTGAAAAGTGTCTAAAGCTTTTTTGCATTCTTCATAAGATAATGGACTTGTCACTGAATGAGTAATCGATCTTATTTTGTACCGTAGGGTGTAAAAGAATGCAAACACCTTTACTATGCCTGGATCCGTGAGAGAAAAATATTTCACCTCCCCATTCGTTTTTCCAAATAATTTCATCTTCTGGTTGAGAGTAAGTTTCTTGCAAGAAATAAATTTTTGAGTTATGATCTTTGAGATATAGAAAAATGCTCCTCCGTTTGGCTTGATCTCTTATTCCCCTTACGTTTAGAGAAAGTATATCGTATTTTGCCTTCTCTTGCATTACAATAAAAAACAAAAAAAAAAAAAAACAAGAAGAATATATATGCAAATTTAAAAAAAAAAAATACAGAAGCAAACAAAACTAAAATTATACAAAACGTAAATTAAAGTAGTTTTTGAGCGTTTCCCTTCTTCTTCTCCGAACTTTGCGTTTTTTGTTCCTGTCCCAAATGTAAGTTACAGTTTTTGTCTTCCTTGGCCGATTGGACATTTAAAGATAATCTAAGTCTTCCAGCTCGTTAATTCTGACCGGCTTACCCTGCGGAGAGGTCTTGACATATATTGATCCATCCATTGACCAGACACTCAACAATTCATCATTTCTCCGCATCTCGTTTGCCCGATTCATTATTTTTTTTTTTCTGTACGAGGTAAGATTCTCGTTTAAAAATCTGTCGGCTTGCACTAGAGTTGACGACGAGCACTGCGGGAAGATGTTAGAAACTCTGACATTTTTTAGCTTAGCCCTAGCCCTGTATAGATTTGTTTTGACCTTGTGGCTTATAAATTTTACAATAATTGGTTTGTTACCCTTCCTGTTCAGCTTGTGACATATTTCGATATCCTTTGGTTCCACCGATACATCTAGGGCCTCCGCTAATTTTAACACCACGTCTTCCGTCTCGGTGTAGGCGCATTCTGGTACACCATGTATTTCTATTGAGTTTTTCCTCGTGTATTGTTCTAGTTTGTCTTGAAGATCGTACAATTCACCAATTTCTTCTTCCTGCTCTTGAATTTTCTTTCTTGCTGCCACCAGCTCGCGTTCTACCTCGTTGTACTGCTTCGTTATATGTTCTAGAGATGATTTCAACGCAGTTATATCGTCTGTTTGATGTTGAATTGTGCGCTTGAGATCGGTCATTTCGCTTCTGATTGTTTTGTTTTCGCGTAGGATAGTTGCAGTATTTATTTGAATGTCTACCAACATCTCCCTTAGTTCTGCATTACTTGGCTCACCTTCGGCGTTTATTGCTTCATTTGTCGCTTCCACTAACTCCGCGGCCTCTTCCTCTTGACATTCCGCCATGTTGGCTCTTTTAAGTGTCGATGGTTCTTCTTCCTCCACTGATCCTCGAGCTCCTCGTTTGTGTTTTCCTCCTAATTTCTGCATTTAATACTTCAGCAAGTGTTTAAACGTTGAATTATTATGTCAAGGTGGTATAAAGTTCTCTAAAATTGGCGTAAAGGGACAGAAACTACGCTCCTCACAAAACGTGCCACCGCACACCGACCCCACGCATGCTATGTTAGTGTTGTTGTTATTGTCCATACTGCTATTCCAAGGTTATACATACATGACTTGTAACTTTATCACCTGTTTTACGACCTTTTGTAAGTTTATTTGACATAAGAAAACTTTATGAATAAACTGTTTTTGTAACCACCAGACAATTTACACTTTATCTACAAGGCTCATGTCCAAGTCTCTCAGTTATTTCAAGGCTGTAACATTTTGTTTGTTACATTTCGCGTTAAAAATATTGTTTCATTTTGCGTCAAAAAGTTGTTACATTTCGCGTTAAAAAGTTGTTACATTTTGCGTCAAAAGTTGTTACATTTCGGGTTAATGTTACATTTCTCGTTAATGTTACATTTTGCGGCGTAACACACCCTCTCTTATTTCAACCTTGTATTTAGGAATAAAGGCACGGCAAAGTTTCCCCGTAGCCTGCGTAGCTGGCGTTTTTTTTGGGGGGGGGGGGCGGTGTTCTTTTGTGGTTCTCAAAGTAACAGAGGCACTAATGCTGGACCAAGGTTAAAACAGAAAACGATGGGGGAGGGGAGGGGGTGAGGAGAGAATCTCCTCTCCTCCTCTCCCATCTTTTTCTTTTTCGTTCTCGGTTCGGCTTTCGCACGGTTGTATCTCCTCCTTTACAAACCACATGAACAAAAGAAAAGACACACCTGAAAAAAACCGCCAGCCACACAGGCTAGGTACGACGCGAGTCGGGCATCGGCCACCTAATACTTGGCCTCTTCTGTTTTCCAGTACAATTTTCAGTATTGAAGAATGTGATCTTGCTGATCCATGTAAGCGTAAAGTCAACAATGGTTTGACTATCATAACAACTTACTCATCGTCATCACAAATAGGCCTTATTATTGCTATGTTAATTTAATTTTCCATACCCAACTGTTGTCATGCTGATAAATGCCCACCAAAAACCTTCATAAGAACCTCTTGTAAACGACAATGGGAATTCTTCGTTTTTCACATGATATTCCTTCAATGCAAATCATAAAACATGTCATTATTTTTAATTGCCCTTCTGAAAGCTAGTGTACTGTTATCCACAGAATTTTTTCAAGTGGTTCTTCAGCGAAGAACTTTATATTATCAAGGCTATTGCAGGGGCGGTTAAGTTAAAATTGGCGAGAATATTAGATCAAACAATTTTTTCTTTTTTAGAAAATGTTACTTGTTATGAAAATTAAAACAAATTACATCTTTACTACAAGGAGACGTGACTATAATAATTCGGGAAAATTGCATTAAAAGTTCTTCTTCCTCTTTCCTCAGTTGTAAAACCTGTAAATCACAACGTAATTCGGCACTGGGCGAACCACGGAAGCACCTTGAAATCTCTTACCACACTGTATTTCACACTTTTTTGTGTTGTTGGTTTTATAAATGCCTTTGGTGATATATATAATGATCGTATTTTGTAATAAAGTGTATAAAAAATCAACACTGAAAGGAAGCATGGAATGGAGATTATGTGAACTGCGGTAATGTAAAACTCAACGAACGAAAATATGATGAAACATGTAATCAAAAATTACTCAGATATTTAATAGTCCTCGTCAAACTATTTACAACTTACCAATGCCCAAATAAAAATCCCAGCTATTCCAGCAAGAAGAAAGGTCAATGTAAATATGGGCCACGAATCATAAAGCGATCGTAATACCAAACTCTTGGCTTTCTTGTTGAAGTGATCTATGCGACCAATCAGCACGTAACCATGCGTTTTTACGATCTCGTGAAAAGTGTACCTAATCTCAGAGAACGTTAACTGTGTCTCTCGCTCCTCTGTGACAGGGAAAATGATATCTGCTGATGCGAGATTTTCAATGAAGGTATCTGATTCAGCGTCTTCGTGCATGTCATTTACGACTTGGAGCCCATCAAAATCGTTTGGGCAACAACCCCAAAAACTCTCACTAATGTAATCAAACACGATGCCACCTGCCGATAAGGACAGTATAATCTCAGTGTATTAACTTTTATTTAGGGAAAATTCAGTTAACTTTATTCTTTTGTGACTTGCAGCGAGCAAAACCGACATTGAACATGACTAAGGGCCTGTTAGTACATGGAAGTAGGAGACGCCAGGTCGGGTGACATAACCCGCATAGGTGGGGCTCACTCACCTGTCCATTTAATTTGATCACGTTAACATGACGCGTGGGATGATCCGCGGTGGTGGGTTACTCGGTCTGCCAGGCCGGGTAACCCTCTCAGCCGGGGTAAAATTTTGCCATGTAGGCTTTCAATGAAAAGAAAGTGCACCCCGAGATGGCCGGGTTGTAAGATTGCATTTAAAGCGGGTTATTTTTACCCCACCTGAACGGGTTACTTCACCTACCTGGTCTGCAGCTGTTCACATGCAGGTGGCCACCTCCGTGTAAACATGCACAGGCCCTAAGACTGAACTTCTTATTGGTTTAGTCTATGCAAAGATTATCACTTCTTTCGTTCAAACGACTTAGGGGCTCACACCGGATGAAAATCTTTCTTGCGGAATATCGCATTCATGATAAACTTTCAAAGAAGATTGCGCCATTGAACAACCTTCTACAATTCATTCTACATTACTGTGGCCGTGCTGAAAGAGCCGGCCCTTTCTCAAAACCGCAAAAGTTGCAAAAAATTAATCTTGCTGCACGCGTTAGACTTGCTCTAATCATAATCCCAGTGCTAATGAATTGTTTTAGAAGTTCAACGGGCCAAAACTTAACCATCAGCGCTTAATTAGTGGAGCAATTGTGAGGTATATTATTGTAAAGTCGATCAGGCTCCTGCACGTTTTAGTTTGTCTTTATGCCACTCGGACTTTCACAGTTAAAGCAGGGGACTATGGGCTTGCCATTCCTCAGTCAGCGCAGGGCTGATTATTTTTTAAAAAATGGGGAAAAACGTTTTTTTTCTTTGCATTAAAGCAGTGCGTGGAACAGCTTGCACTCACCGTCATTGGATGTATTGATATTGACTATTATGAATATTAATAAATTTTTCTCTTTTACTGCACACAAGGCTTCCCTATAAAACTGGTTTTTCCCTTGTTATTTCTTTTGTTCATGTACAACTGTAAAAAGTTTAGTAGATAGATAGATCTTTATAACACTGAAGGAAATATCGTCTCGTGCAAGCCCATCGTAAAATATACCCACCTTCAGTGGTGTCATTTTCAAGCGTCATATAAGGCGGGAATAGCAGCAATGCTGCTTTCACATCACCAGTAGGACACCCAGTCACGCTGTCTGTCATTCCACCATCGTCCGGACAGTCACTGTTTGCTGCTGTGTTGTTGGACAGGGCCATAAAATACAAACTTGAAATCATTACATGCAAGGATGTCGTCGGTTTCATGTCAGACACAAACTCCGTTGAATCATTTGAATCTAGACTGAAAAGAAGTGAAACTCCATATTCTTAAGCAATTAAAAC